GCACACTTGTATACCCGAAAGATTCGGTGCTAAATAGCTATGAATTTTTGGAAAATATACCCGTGCTCAGTCTCATGATTCACCGTGCAGATAAAGTCCAAAATACCTGGGTTGTTCAATCGGTAGAGCGTCAGATTCAGAACAGAGACCGTGAGTTAAAGCTCCGATCAGGCTTACTCACCTTTTTTCCTTATGAGATTTATAAATGAGTACCGCTGTGTGGGAAGGAAAACGGGAGACTATGCGCTGTGCTTGCTGTTCTGTTGTCAATTCAACCTTTAAAGTAAAATACGCCTGGCCGATGTCATGGAAATGGTGATCAGCACTAGCCATTAACATTATGAAACGAAAAGAAAAGCGCCAGAAATGTTCCCATCATGAAAGTGTAGGAAAGATGGACAGCAGAAATAGTTTCTAGACATCCTTGCAGCAGGCTATGGAGTTTTCGTGATTTCTGATTTACGATACCTTAGATCAGCAAACCGTTCAGGGGTCATATCGGTCAATGTGTTGTGCATTGTGTGTTTTTTGAGATCATCACCTTGAGCTGTTTGCTTAGGGAGAACGTCGCTAGCTTTCCAGCTGTATTCGCAGCACTTTTCACTTTAAGGCGCCGGTTACTGCATTGCGGAACGACATATTTATCTCTGGAAGCGCAACTGTATCGACTTTCTTCCTTAGTTTTGCATGATGGTTTTCTGGTCGAACGTATGCCTTGTTTCAGCTGTTACACGAAATGCTCATGGGCTGGAGTAAATGGCGTGTGCTCGACAAATTTGTCTAATAGGGCCAACCGGCTTTTAACCGACTGAGGTTACGTGTGCCCGGAAGTGAATAGAGTCATTCCTTGCGTGTTCCTGCTATTTGGCCCTCATTACGCGTCGAAGCCAACGCTGCTGTACTCATTTCAACCGTTGTTCTTGCTTTCTCGTTAGAAGAATTGTCTCAATGGCATAGAGCAACGCTGACCTGACAGAGATAAGGTGCAGACAGATAATTGTAGAATGAGATACTTCTTTCTTAGTCCACTATCTTACTTTGCTTGACAGAATTAAGGTGCTGATTTGACCACATTTTCCCCTGAACTTTTTAGTTCGTCCTTCAGCCCTGAGATATATCCAATTAAAATCTCCGTCTTGACCACTCTACGCTGTTTGAGCCACTCGTTCTGCGTAACATTTGAGAAGTAGGTCTGGAAGGCGCATTGTATTGGAGGCTAGACCAATGTGTTCATGAATGATCTTTAGATGGCCGATGATTGAGCGTAGAACTGTTTTTGTCGCTGAAGTTTATAAGTTAAGCACACTTTCTGACCCATCCTGTAGCGATTTTCAAGTTTTGCTTAAAATTTATTTGCTTAATTGTCCCAGAAAGAACACTCAAGCATTAATTCTTCCGATGTAAAAGGAGACATGGTATAACATGTACAAAATAAAGCAATTCAAGACGAATAAGTGAAAAATAAGATGCCAGGTTCAGCATGATATCCATCCTATATGCTTTTTTCCAAACGATTCTCAGTGCTGCTTCTTGGGCTATGAATGTGATGATGACCGTTCTGATTCGTTGATTCGCCGCTGGTCGAAACGTTTTTTGCTGTCTAATGCCGGATGTCATTGGTATGCGTAGGATGAAAAGTTTATCGCTATTATTGGTGCACTTAGTCTCTCTTATGCATAGAGTTTCTCAGGTGAAACAGCAGCTTACTGCAGTAGAGGCTGGACTGAATGAAAACTGCTTTGCCGCGACATATAGACCAACTCGGGACCACAAGCCGACCGCACGATCAACCGGCAGCTTTGTCCTTCAAGATAATGCTGAGGTACGTAGCTTCTGGATTCCTGTAGAACATTTCGCTGCCTACGACAGTTCGATCATGACCAATAGTTAAAATCATTTGGTTTCTCAAACTGAGATGATTAAAGACCATGCCATTCGATTTAGATGGATTTGACGTAAGATCGGTTATATCGGCCCACCTGCAAACGTCCCTATTGTTAGTACTGAACCGTGGTACGTCTTTCGCTGGAACAACAGAAGGATGCGGAAGTCCAGCGTAAGCACTGACCTTTGACTTCTCCATAGAAATAAACCTGATCTTATGGGTTTACTAGCATGTTGCTAGTTATCCATGCCGCCGTTAAGAGAAATAACGTTCTCTTTAGATACCTTCGTAATGACACCGTCCCCTTGCTTCTAACTGCCTAGGAAACTATTTAAGCAGGCAAAGGCTCCCTGTTATTTGGGTACCTGCAGTGCATTAATGCAAAACTGCATTACCATGTATCGACAGCTAGCTCCATTCTAGTAACGGATAGTGACTTATCGGCAGATGTCTGAACAGACCTTTGTTTGTCTCTGCCTAGTGATGCATGGCCTTCGTTTCTGTGCACGTCCTCAAATATCATGGAGCTGTGACGTGCTTAAATGGTCCCCTTGGCGGCTGAAAGCAAAGGGGCGGTGCCATTACGCCGTTTCAATCCGGTATCAAAAGAGAAAATGTTGTTTGGCTTCTCCGATCTGTAAGTTTCTAGTTCTGTTGGTTCTTCTCTGTTTAGACATGCAGCGGAAGATTACAGAAATGAGTTGTTAATATTGTTACAAGATTCATATGAACTACTGCTCCCTCCAGAGTTTGTAATAAACGATCCACTAGAATGGTGTCCTAGGTGGAGCTGAAAACCAAAGACATTAACCTTGTGATCCTATTGCCCTTTTTAGAATTGCTGGAAAATTATTCAAATCAGGGTTGTTAGAAAACCATATGGTTGTCAGGGCATTTTATATTGACCTCGAGCACTCTTTCCTGATTATATAGGCCTCCAATACCACAACAGTAGCGGACTACGTTTTCTGGAATATTGGTTTTTTGAATCCTTTGCCATGCCATACTTGAGGAACAAGGCCTCATCTTGGCTGTGGAGCAAGATGTTGTCTTGCATAGGCAGATGATGTACTTGAGATCCTGAACCTGCATGAGCGAGGCTCCATATGTTAAATGACGAGTTTTCTTTCAGAATTTTTCATAGCCAGATAAGCACATGATAGCGTGTACCAGAAGTATTAATAATCTTTGAGTTGCATGTTACTTTTGAAAGAGATATTTCAGAGATCTTCGGAAGTTTTGAGTTAAAGATTTTTATGCACTAAATATGATTTCCGTGTTCTCGGGTAATTGCCAGCAATAGCAGTTTTCAATGTTTCCAGAAAAGCTGCCTGATGTAACCACCGGAATTTTGTGCATATCCACATCGTTTCCTTGTTTCTAGCTGTCTGTAGTGAAGTAACATGAGATAGTTGTTGCCTGAAATTTCATGGTCATCCTCAATGCAGTGGCATTCTGTGTGAACTGGCCCGACCCATTGTGACTAAAGCAGAGCTCAGTCTGAAAACTAAGCTCTCGGTGTTCAAGTCGATCTTTGTCCCCATACTTA